GGTTATTATTAACTTTACTTTTTATTTCATTGTTATTTGTTGTTGTTTTTTTCAATTCTACAAAATCATCATCTGGTTGCATTTTTTTAAGTTTCAGTTATTTTAATTTTTGTTTCTTTAAATATTTAGTTGTTGTTTGCATATGGACAAGAGTCACAAAGAGAGTAGTAGTTGAATTTGTTTGGTCCGTCTGTCTATAAAAAAAATAAGTGTATAAATATCTGTATGATTGTCTGTCTTTTTGTCCGTCCATCCGTAAGTCTGTCTGCCTGTGTGTATGAGTGAGTGTGTGTGTTTGTTAGTTTTGATGATTATATTTTACTGATATGACCACTTCAAGGAATTATAATAACAATAATAACAACAATCCGCAGAATTCCTTTTATTATATTTTTCTCGGTTTGTTTTAGATTTTAGATATCAGTATAACAACAATAGCAGCAACAACAATCATACAGTAAAACGTACGAATATTATGATGGCCTTTTCTTTAAAACACACAGATACAACTACAGACGTGAATAAAAACATACATCGTTTAGCAGGGATATAAAGGAGTGTTTTAATTAAACAACATTTTAGTTTACATTACAATTTCCTTGTAGATTTTTTTCATTATTCTAAAGGGCCTTTAAAATTCCAAAAAATTCCGCTTTAAAACATTTTCATAAGATCTTTCAGGTCAGTGAAAAATGTTTAGAGGCCTGATTGTATGCCTACTATATCACTGGCAGCTACTCAATCTATTTTAAAAAGTTTGCGAGCTGTAGGATTCATTTAAAATTAGGGAAATTTGCCATTAGAGGAATTGAAATCAAGAGACCTTGAAAGTCGATTTTGCATGAAGCAACTACTGCCTAGACAATAACCCAAAATGTTATTGTTTGGAACACAAAGGCTCCTATTCTAATTTGAGCTGCTGAAATCTGGCCAGACCATCATAAACAAAATGCATCGGATTCGTCTGAAGCAAGAAAGACGAAGAGAATAGGTACCAAGACATGGAAGCCTTTGTCACAACTTGCAATGTCTATTAAAACAATATTAAAATAAATTGTTGGAATGTTTAACCTCACCTGTCTTGTAGTCCCTACCCTAGATAGATAGATAGATAGATAGATAGATAGATAGATAGATAGATAGATAGATAGATAGATAGATAGATAGATAGATAGATAGATAGATAGATAGATAGATAGATAGATAGGATAGATAGATAGATAGAAGATAGATAGATAGATAGATAGATAGATAGATAGATAGATAGATAGATAGATAGATAGATAGATAGATAGATAGATAGATAGATAGATAGATAGATAGATAGATAGATAGATAGATAGATAGATAGATAGATAGATAGATAGATAGATAGATAGATAGATAGATAGATAGATAGATAGATAGATAGATAGATAGATAGATAGATAGATAGATAGATAGATAGATAGATAGATAGATAGATAGATAGATAGATAGATAGATAGATAGATAGATAGATAGATAGATAGATAGATAGATAGATAGATAGATAGATAGATAGATAGATAGATAGATAGATAGATAGATAGATAGATAGATAGATAGATAGATAGATAGATAGATAGATAGATAGATAGATAGATAGATAGATAGATAGATAGATAGATAGATAGATAGATAGATAGATAGATAGATAGATAGATAGATAGATAGATAGATAGATAGATAGATAGATAGATAGATAGATAGATAGATAGATAGATAGATAGATAGATAGATAGATAGATAGATAGATAGATAGATAGATAGATAGATAGATAGATAGATAGATAGATAGATAGATAGATAGATAGATAGATAGATAGATAGATAGATAGATAGATAGATAGATAGATAGATAGATAGATAGATAGATAGATAGATAGATAGATAGATAGATAGATAGATAGATAGATAGATAGATAGATAGATAGATAGATAGATAGATTAGTTAGGCCTAGGCGGGATGCAGTAGTCAAGGAAAAGTTAGTTGTTGGATAAGTACAAGTCCTTACCATGTTTTGCTGGGTAACTTCTACAAAGCCTTCCAAAACTTTCGCTTATAGTTTCTCATAATTGCAATTTCCCAAAGAATGCACTATTTTACATAACTGCATTTTAAGCAGAAATTATAGTAGTTGTTGCAGACTTTCTTATTTGTATGTGTAAAATGTTTGAGTGAGTGTGTGTGTATGCAATGTGTTGTGTATTTTTATAAATGAATGTATCCAAAATAGATAGTACATTGATAAGAATTATTCAAGTCTTACATTTTTTTTTCCTTCATAGTGCTTAAATAAATTCATACATACATTTGGAGTAGTTCATGAAATAAAAATGAGAAAAAAAGCAAAGAAATTAAAAAGAAGTGGGAAAGCATTACTGCTAAACTAAACAAAAAATACACGGGAATTATAATAAATAGCATTAAAGGGCTTAAAGCTGAAATTTCAAAAGCCACAAAATAAGAAATCCAAAAAAATAGTTTCTAATTTTATTGTAACTGAAGTCTAAATTTCTTAAGCAATAAAATTAACTTTAAAAAATGCTATAGAAATCTTGTGGCTTATCATGTTATTGCAATAAGCCTATAAAAATCCCAAAGAGTCCATATTCTTTTGCTTTGTAGTGTACTGTTTTACCTTTATATTTTAAAGTTTGTTTATATGTATATTTTTTTCTGATTGTACTACACTAGATACATAGATACATTTCCAACAAGCTGGTGGTTTAGAATTGCAAGTACATACATTTGTATGTGTTGTTACTGTTGTATTGTTTTTGTTATACATTTCCTTTTATATTTTGTTACTTTTCTATTATAATCTGCCACGAAAAACATGCAGGTAGCCAGCTTAGACACGTTTGTTTAAAAATTATTTTTTTGCGTACTTTTCAGGATTGTTGTTATTTGTTTACTTATTTCGCTGTTTTTACTGGGTAATTAGAAAAATAAATGTAAATCTCCAAAAACTCTGTTAACTAAATGGAATTTAATTTAAATTTAATTAGTTTGTTAAAAATGATAAGAATTAGGGAAAGGAAAAAGAACAAGTATGATTAGAGTTTTTCAAAAAAAGTACTGTTCTTCAAGTTATTACTTTATAATGAGGGTATAATTTTGTTGTTATTAATTTGTCACATGTATGTACATATGTATAATAAACATAAGATGTATTTTACATTATCGGAAGGGAAATATTGTTTGGTTTTTTTAAGAAATATTCTAATAATTCTCTAGAAATTTTCTAAAATTTTTTTAAAAGAGAGAATTTTTTAAATTTTTTCTAAAAAGAAAAATTTTTATAAAAGAAGAAATTTTTGAAATTTTTTTTAAATAAAAAAAAAAAAAAAAATTACTAAAATATAATAAAATTGATCTACAAAAAGAGAATTTACTTAAAATGTTTTATAAACAGATAATTTTAATAAATAGAAAAATTTAAAAAAGAAAAATTTTTCGAAAATTTTCTATAGAAAAGAGAAATTTTCTATGAAAAGAAAAATTTTTAAAAAATTTTCTATAAAAAGATAAAGTTTCCGAAATTTTTCAATAAAAGAGAAAATTTCTGAAAATTTTCTATAAGAAAGAGAAATTTTCCAAAAATTTTCTATAAAAAGATAAAGAAATTTTCCAAAAGTTTTCTATTAAAAAGGGAAATTTTACGAAAATTATCTATAAAAATGGAAAAATTTCCGAAATTTTCTATAAAAAAGAGAAATTTTCCGAAAATGTTCTATAAAAAGAGAAATTTTCCCAAAATGTTCTATATAAAAGAGAAATTTCCGAAAATTTTCTATAAAAAAGAGAAATTTTCCGAAAATTTTCTGTAGAAAAGAGAAAATTTCCGAAAATTTTCTATATAAAAGAGAAATTTTCCGAAAAGTTTCTATATAAAGAGAAATTTTCCGAAAAGTTTCTATATAAAAGAGAAATTTTCCGAAAATGTTCTATATAAAAGAGAAATTTTCCGAAAGTGTTCTATTTAAAAGAGAAATTTTCCGAAAATGTTCTATTTAAAAGAGAAATTTTCCGAAAATGTTCTATATAAAAGAGAAATTTTCCAAAAATGTTCTATATGAAAGAGAAATTTTCCGAAAATGTTCTATATAAAAGAGAAATTTTCCGAAAATGTTCTATATAAAACAGAAATTTTCCGAAAATGTTCCATATAAAAGAGAAAATTTCCGAAAATGTTCTATATAAAAGAGAAAATTTCCGAAAATGTTCTATATAAAAGAGAAATTTTCCGAAAATTGTCTATAGAAAAGAGAAATTTTCCGAAAATTATCTATAGAAAAGAGAAATTTTCCGAAAATTATCTATAGAAAAGAGAAATTTTCCGAAAATTATCTATAGAAAAGAGAAATTTTCCGAAAATTGTCTATAGAAAAGAGAAATTTTCCGAAAATTGTCTATAGAAAAGAGAATATTTCCGAAAATTTTCTATAAAAAAGAGAAATTTTCCGAAAATTTTCTATAAAAAGAGAAATTTTCCGAAAATTTTCTGTAAAAAAGTGAAATTTTCCGAAAATTTTCTATAAAAAAGTGAAATTTTCTATAAAAAAGAGAAATTTTCCGAAAATTTTCTATATAAAAGAGAAATTTTCCGAAAATTTTCTATATAAAAGAGAAATTTTCCTAAAATTTTCTATATAAAAGAGAAATTTTCCGCAAATTTTCTATATAAAAGAGAAATTTTCCGCAAATTTTCTATATAAAAGAGAAATTTTACGAAAATTTTCTATATAAAAGAGGAATTTTCCGAAAATTTTCTATATAAAAGAGAAATATTCCGAAAATTTTCTATATAAAAGAGAAATTTTCTGTAAAAAAGAGACATTTTCCAAAAATTTTCTATAAAAGAGAAATTTTCCAAAAAGTTTCTATAAAAAGAGAAGTTTTCTAAACATTTTCTATTTTTGTTGTGTTTTAAGGAATTTCTAACTAACTATTATTTTTCTTTTTTCTCTCACAGGTGATTGTTCAGATTCTACAGAAGACATGACAGTAGATAGTCGAGGTATGTAACAAGTTTTCTTTTATACTCTATTAATCATAAAAATATTAAACTAATCTATAAAGAAAACAAGTTATGAAAAGTAATAAAAAGGATAGATATATCCCTTTTTTAACAACCAAAATATTTTTACCACAAACCCCTTTTTTACTTTATTAATAAAAAAAGAACTAAAAGAGAAACTAACTATTATTAATATTATGACCACACACATGCATTATAAAATGTTTATAACTCTGTGTATGTTCAGTGTGTTTAAAATGAGATAAGCAAAACTGCCACATAAAAAAAAGGGAACACAATCCTTTTATCACTTTTAACTCCTTAAAATGTGCTGCCAACACATCTTCCTGTATTTGCAAAATAATAATCCTTGCAACTTCCTGGTCCTGTTCTCTGCATGTCATCACACACTCCTGTTATCCTAGTTACTATAAATTTTCAAAGTTAATACGTATTTATGTATTTTAGCTTAACTCTTCTCAAACTAACTCTCCCGAAATGTCAATAAAATTTTTAATCTTTTGAAAAACATTCATTCATTCCTATTTTTTTGTGTCACTTGCTGTGAGTGTGATTTGTTCATAATAATAAATATTTTTTTTTTACTGGACTGCAACTCATTATTATCACAGTTTTTTGTTCACTTTTATAAACTTATCTTTTTAAATAGCATTAATGTTTGACCGACCACCCTCTGTGCATTTGTTTAACTGTCTGCTGTGCAGCGGCTGTTGAGTGAGTTTTCAACAAAAAGCTGTGGTGTGTGCCACTTATGGTGTCAATTTTGTTTTAATTCTTTTATTAAGTGACAAGGGTTTTATGTCACCCTTTTTTTGCTTCTTCGTTTTTTTTTTAACTAAACTCATTTCCGTAATGATTGTAAAGATATCAAGAAGATGATTTGTAAAATAATATTTTAATATTTAAAAGGGCAATGGCGGAGGAGAAAAAAATTAACGCCCTTAATTGAGACTTTATAGATTTTATATGAAATTAAAAAAGAAAAGTTTTCAATTAAAAGACTCTATGACTCTTGAAAAAGGAGTTTTTTTAAATGTGTTTAAAAATATTCCTCTATTTATTCTATTAATTTTCTATAAAAAGAGAATTTTTACAAAAATATTCTATGAAAAAGAGAAACTTTGCGAAACTTTCTATAAAAGGAGAAATTTTTCGAAATTTTATAATAAAAGGATAAATTTTCCGAAAATTTTCCAAAGAAAGGATACATTTTCCGAAAATTTTGTATAGAAAAAAGAATTTTTCCAAAAATGTTCTATAGAAAAGAGATTTTTTTTTTAATTTTCTATAGAAAAGAGAAATTTTCCATAGAAAAGAGAAATTTTCTATAGAAAAAAGAAATTTTCCAAAAAAATTCTATAAAACAGATAAATTTTCTACAAAACAGAAAATTTTCTATAAAACAGAGAAATTTTCCGAAATTTTTCTATAAAACAGAGAAATTTTCCGAAATTTTTCTATAGAAAAGAGAAATTTTCCGAAAATTTTCTATAAAACAGAAAATTTTCTATAGAAAAGAGAAATTTTTTATAGAAAAGAGAAATTTTCCGAAAATTTTCTATAAAACAGAAAATTTTCTATAGAAAAGAGAAATTTTTTATAGAAAAGAGAAATTTTCCGAAAATTTTCTATAGAAAAGAGAAATTTTCCGAAAATTTTCTATAGAAAAGAGAAATTTTCCGAAAATTTTCTATAGAAAAGAGAAATTTTCCGAAAATTTTCTATAGAAAAGAGAAATTTTCCGAAAATTTTCTATAGAGAAGAGAAATTTTCCGAAAATGTTCTATAGAGAAGAGAAATTTTCCGAAAATGTTCTATAGAAAAGACAAATTTTCTGTAAAAAAAGAAATTTTCCGCAAATTTTCTATAAAAAAATTAATTTTCCGCAAATTTTCTATGAAAAAGAGAAATTTTCTATGAAAAAGAGAAATTTTCTATGAAAAAGAGAAATTTTCCGAAAATTTTCTATAGAAAAGAAACATTTTTTGAAAATTTTCTATAGAAAAGAGAAATTTTCTGAAAATTTTCTATAGAAAAGAGAAATTATAAAACAGATAAATTTTCCGCAAATTTTCTATAAAAAAAACAGAAATTTTCCGCAAATTTTCTATAAAAAGAGAAATTTTATGAAAATTATTAGTTTTCCGGAAATCTTAAGAAAATTGTTAAAAATGTTCTATTAAAAGAGAAATTTTAGCAATTTTTGCTATAAAACATATCAAAAAAGTAATATTTTCTATAAAAAGAACATTTTCTATTCAAAGAGAAATTTCCTTAAAATTTCTATAAAAACAGGAAAATTTCATAAATTCTCTACAAAAAAGTGAAAAATTTTGAACAAATTTTTAAATTATCTAGTGTTTGGATAATTTTTCTATATAGAGAATTTCGCATAAGTTTTGATAATTTTTTTTTAATTAATCAAAAAGGCGTGTCGCTTTTGTATAATAAAATTTTCATTCTAGCGTCTCATTAGTTTATGTTAGTTTTTTTAACAAAATTTCATGATAATTTTTTTTTCTCCATACTTTTAATAATAAATTGTCCACTACTGAGGTCATTTTGTTCAATTCCTTAACAAAATGTGTTGTTGTTTTTTTGTTTTTGTTCACTATATTTAATCTCGACTTGTTGATATTGTTTGTTGTAGACATATTTTGTATTGGAAATTTATTGATGGCAACAACCTTAAGATCTGTCACTTCTCTATGAATAGAAATACGAACAAAAAAAATATTGTCAAAATGTCAATTAGTTTGTGGTTGTTGTTGTTTTATTGGAAATATACAACAAATAAGAGACAACATGACAATAACCAATTATGTATGATCATGTATGGTCACGCAGTAAATGTACAACGAATTGAATTGAAATTTTTGTTGAACAAAAAAAATGTTTAAAACAAAGTTGTATTCACAAGCAAACAACAAATAAATGGCAACATTTATTTATTTATTTGTTTAGAATCAATAATGTGAACATATAAAAAGATGAATCAGAAAATATTTCAAATGTAAAAAGTTTCATAGAGAGAGAGAGAGAGAGAGCAGAGGAGAGGAAAAAAAGGTTGAAAAAGATGTTTATCTAGATAAAACACGAAAAATATCCAAATATGGCAAAACAAATTAACAAATTATTGACAGTGTATTTTAACAATTTTTTTTAATAAGAGATGGTGGTGTATAGCTTTTTTATTATTAAATAAATATTAACAGTGTCTGTCAAAAGTTTTGAATTAAGGTTAATTTGAAATTTTGACAGGAGACAATCCTTTTTAAGTAGCGCTAAACAAATCTTAAACACTTTATAGATAAATAGATAAATGGATAGATAGATAGATAGATAGATAGATAGATAGATAGATAGATAGATAGATAGATAGATAGATAGATAGATAGATAGATAGATAGATAGATAGATAGATAGATAGTTAGATAGATAGATAGATAGATGATAGATAGATAGATAGATAGATAGATAGATAGATAGATAGATAGATTAGATAGATAGATAGATAGATAGATAGATAGATAGATAGATAGATAGATAGATAGATAGATAGATAGATAGATAGATAGATAGATAGATAGATAGATAGATAGATAGATAGATAGATAGATAGATAGATAGATAGATAGATAGATAGATAGATAGATAGATAGATAGATAGATAGATAGATAGATAGATAGATAGATAGATAGATAGATAGATAGATAGATAGATAGATAGGTAGATAGATAGATAGATAGATAGATAGATAGATAGATAGATAGATAGATAGATAGATAGATAGATAGATAGATAGATAGATAGATAGATAGATAGATAGATAGATAGATAGATAGATAGATAGATAGATATAGATAGATAGATAGATAGATAGATAGATATATAGATAGATAGATAGATAGATATAGATAGATAGATAGATAGATAGATAGATAGATGATAGATAGATAGATAGATAGATAGATAGATAGATAGATATAGATAGATAGATAGATAGATAGCTAGATAGATAGATAGATAGATAGATAGTAGATAGATAGATAGATAGATAGATAGATAGATAGATAGATAGATAGATAGATAGATAGATAGATAGATAGATAGATAGATAGATAGATAGATAGAGATTAGATAGATAGATAGATAGATATAGATAGATAGAGTAGATAGATAGAGATAGATAGATAGATAGATAGATAGAGATAGATAGATAGATAGATAGATAGATAGATAGATAGATAGATAGATAGATAGATAGATAGATAGATAGATAGATAGATAGATAGATAGATAGATAGATAGATAGATAGATAGATAGATAGATAGATAGATAGATAGATAGATAGATAGATAGCTGGGCCCAAATAATCATTCAAATAAATCGCCTTAATAACACAAAAAGAACAAATTTATTAATTTTTCACAAATCTTAGAATTTTCAAAAATGTCTCAAACCTAAATTGATATAAATTTTTGTTGTATAAAATACTATTAAGAAAACATTTGAGGAACTTTGAAATTAAGAAATTTCTCCAATTAAGAATAAATTTCCTTATTTTTTTCTAATTCTCTCTTTTTTTCCCAGAATTAGACATATTTAGTTTCAAAACTGTTATCTAATTTCTTCAAAGAAAAAAAATAAATTTAAATTCTCTTTTATTCTTTGTTATAGTTGCTGCTTATCGTCTTAACCATTTCAAAATAAATGATGTGTTTCATGCACATTTTTTATTCGAAAAAAAGAAAAAATTATATCTAAAAGATATCAAAATGATTAATTATGTAACAAATACATAATATTGTGGTTCTTATTCTAAAAGTAGTAGTGTTAGTGTAAGCATGTGTTTAAAAAATATTTCAGCTATCTATGTATCTGCTATTTTAAAACAACTTTATTCGTATAACAACTAAAAAAAAATATTCATATAATATCTATAATATAAGAGTTAGAATGTCATTAAAAACCAAA